ATTCAGATGAAGACTACACTACCTTTTATGAAAAAAGAAGAATGATTCAGAGGGCAGAACTGAGATCTGTGAAGAAGTTAATCCAGGTGGGAGTAGATTTTGTCCTAATCAAAGAACTTGTGACTTCAGAATTGCTATGCACCAGTAATCTCTGTATATTTCTTATCATTCCCACCCTCTTTGAACAGGTATGTCTATAGTGGTTATCCTACGCCTATCCCATTGTTGTATGTTATGTGGGGAGCAAGTAACTTATCATTTTACTTGATAGGTCTTTAGATAACTGTGCTTAAAGAGCTTTATTTTAGAAGCATCATCCACACCTGAACTTGATTTAGATGAGATTCTGGACTTTGAGCTGATACAGTAATGGGAAGAGACTCTGCACAGGGCTTTGGGAAGGGATGGGTGTATTTTACACTGGGATAGATGTGAATCATTGGGAACCAAAGGGCTGATTATGGTAGCCAGCTTCCAATATGGCTTTAGTGATTCTTGGCTCCTGGTGTTCACAGCCTTTTCTTCCATACCAGGCGTGGTCTCTGTGATCAATAGGATGTGGCAGTAGTCAATTATGCCTCTTCTGATATTAATTTATAAACACATTGCAGATTCTGTCTTGGTTGTGCTACCTTTTGGATCACTTGCTCTGGGGGAAGCCACTTACCAGGTCAAGAAGACACTCAACCAGCCCCGTAAGGTCCATGTAGTGATGAACTGATGCCATTTGTCAACATCAAAGAGGAATGAAGGGCTTCAACCAATAGTACTGTGGGTGAACCTTCTTCAAAGCTAATCTGGCTATTGACAAGTCTTTAAATGACTGCAACTAGCTTGACTGTCACTAGAGCCATCCAGCTTTACTGATAAGATTCCTGACCATCAAAAACTGTGTGAGATACTAAATGTTTGTTTTAAGCTAAGTTTTGTTATGTAGCAACAGATAACTAATACAGTGCTGAGAGAGTCAATTCCTAGGTAGGTTGATAAAAAGTCCAGGGTTCTTGAGGAGGAGAAAGGGGTCTGGAGCCACCAAGGAGGAGAAAGGGGTCTGTCCTTTTCTCAAGGAGAAAAGGACAAACATTCTTTTCTACATTGCTTTGTCTTACTCAATATAACTTTGGAGAAGGAAATGGCAACTCACTCCAGTATTCTTGCCTAGAGAATCCTGTGGACAGAGGAGCCTGGTGGGCTGCCGACTATGGGACTGCACAGAGTCAGACAAAATTGAGGTGACCTAGCAGCTGCAGCGGAGAAGGCAATGGCACCCCACTCCAGTACTCTTGCCTGGAAAATACCATGGACAGAGGAGCCTGGTGGGCTACAGTCCATTGGGTCGCACAGAGTCAGACACGACTGAGCAACTTCACTTTCACTTTTCACTTTCATGCATTGGAGAAGGAGATGGCAACCCACTCCAGTATTCTGGCTTGGAGAATCCCAGGGCTGCGGGAGCCTGGTGGGCTGTGGGAGCCTGGTGGGCTGCGGTCTGTGGGGCCGCACAGAGTCAGACACAACTGAAGTGACTTAGCAGCAGCAGCAGTCGATATAACAATGTATCTTTCTCGAGAACATGTTTCTCCTTAAGAAGAACCTTCTTACTAATCCTGTCATCTTAAAGTGTATATTATGGGAGTGGGTCTGGTAAAATCTTTCTATTTTTCATTCTAATCTTGTGAATTTAAGATGTATGTTGTGGGAGTGGGTCTGAAAAAAGTATATAAGGCCTTGATAAGACTAGCTAGGGGAGCATTCCCCGTCCCCCTTCTGATGTCTGTTTCAGCAGCTTTCTCTGTCCCTTTTCTTACAAATTATAATTTTTCTTCCACATGCCTATGAAAGCCAGATAAAGATGAGATGCAGGGAAATGTAAATTGGTTTAGCTCACTGTTTTTTCATTGTTCATTTAGATTCTTTTAAAACTAAGACTGTGGACAAATACTCATTCAGCTAAGCTAAATTTGAAAGATGTAAGGAAGGGGGTTAGCTTTAGTAATGAGAAAATATGTATGTACACACACACACACACGCATCTTCTTTGAACTAAAGGATGTACTTTTGAGAAGTCAAATCATGAGATTTTTCCAGAATCTAGCTTCTGCAGAATGGTAGAGAAGCTGTTGAATCTCAGGTTGAGACTTAAAATTTCATTTATTATTCCTTTTTACCTCATATGACTAGTTTAAAATGTAAAGTATAGGGGATTTCCCTGGTGGTCCAGTGGATCAGACTCAGAGCTCCCAATGCAGGGGGCCTGGGTTCGATCCCTGGTCAGGGAACAAGATCCCACGTGCCGCAATGAAGACTGAGCATGCTACAACTAAGACCCAACACAGCCAAATAAATAAAGATTTAAAAATAAATAAATAAAATGTAAAGTATAATTTGATTTCCTTCCTATTTTTTGTTGTGGAAACATTTGGAAATGAGAAATAAGAATATATTTCTTCTAGCCTCTCTTTATTTTTCTTTGTGTCTTATAATCAATTCCAGTAACTTTAACAATAAACAGTAAAAATGATAGAGTATACAAAGCATTGCCCAAGTGAATCCATCACAAAGCTGTATCTGAGAATGGTTTCCTAAATAGGGAAAATGTGTTTTATATGAACAGTCCATTTTCTGTTATTGCCTTTTTTATTTGGACTGCTAGATGCTATATATTTTAAGGCAGTCTTAATAGTTTCCTGTCTCTCACTAACAAGAATGACTTGTCATAATGAGTAGTATAGACAGTGTCCATTTGATCCACTCCAGAAAGCTGTCTATTTGATACAACAGCAAATCACCTCAATTCCTTTGTGCAATGAATAGAGTGTAAATAAATAAATGAGACCCAAGAATAAAAAAAAAAATCTGGTCAGTTCTATCAGAAAGAAACAAAGGATAAGAACATTTGGAGGCCTGGTTTAATGGGAAAAAAATGGGACAGGACAAAGACTTTTGTGTGATAGCTGTATAAGGAGGAAGAATCCTAATATATATCAATAAAATTGCTTTTTCCTTCTTTAGGAAGATAATTTGGTAGTTTAAGAATAATAATTCTCAATTCTTTGAAGTTGGAGGACTTAGGTTGTAAAATGACTTTTTGTTCACTTTTACCTCCACCAAAAAGAATTCTGATTTTCAACAGTTTTTCTATAGTTCATCACAGTTCTGAATAGGAATTTCAGGTTCCATTTTGGGGTGTCTTTTTGTTGTTTTGCATGTTATACTTCAATTCTAAAGTTTTTGTCTTGGTTTTTGTTTTGAGAGAACTTCAAAATGTTTTAATTTTTCCTTGTACAGTTAGTGTTTGATAGCTCAGTTGGTAAAGAATCCACCTGCAATGCAGGAGACCCCAGTTCAATTCCTGGGTTGGGAAGATCCCCTAGAGAAAGGAAAGACTACCCACTCCAGTATTCTGGCCTAGACTATATGGGGTTGCAAAGAGTCGGACACAACTGAGCAACTTTCACTTTTCAGTTATTGTTTGGTGTATTTCTAGAGAATTATACACAAATGACTTGTCTTTGACTACTTAATTTTTTATTACTGTGTGAGATTTATTTGGTGTGAAATATTAATAGAGCCATTACTCTGTGTCAGGTTGTGGGTTCCAGGTGGGGATGAAAGGTAAGTTATGACAAATTTTGTGTCCTATAGGAGCTCAAAGGCAGTAAAGTGATTCTCAAAATAAAATCTCAGGGTGTCTAGCAGCAGAATCACCAATGGGGCTTGTTTAAAATGCAATCAGTCAAGTTCCATCCTAAACAGAATTAGAATTTCTGAGAGTGGGACTTTAGAGACTGCATTGTAATAGGTTCTGTCTGTGATTCTAATGCAAACTAAAGTTTAAGGACCATTGATCTAGTGAAGGGTGGACGGTAGAGGAATAAACAATTTATATTGCGAATGGAGCCACAATAAAATTTTCCGTTTCCTGTCTGAAGAAAAAAATATTTTCTTCTACACACACACACTATAAAGGCACCAGAACGTGTCTTCTTGCGTACCACACACACACACACAATATAAAGGCACCAGAACGTGTCTTCTTCCGTTTTAGAGAAAATCTGTAAAAAGATTTAGAGCTAGGAGACACTCAGTAAGTATCTGATGATTAAACGATCAGGTTACAGTGAACAAATTTTATAATTCCGTTTTAATGGAATTATAGCAATTTTCTCTTTGATGCTTATAGGTGGACAGTGCTATCTATTTTTGTTTGTAACTAGAACTCTCTGCGCTTCCTAGTAGGGGAGATCGGTCACCCTCCAAACCCGAATTACGTAGAAGAGTAGTGTAAGAACCAATAGGAGCGCTCTCTGGAGCAGCTCCGGACTGGCATCTCAGGGAGGACTGGCGGAAGATGAGACTTTGATGCCATCATGCAATCGGACAAAGAAGGCCTCCGTAGTTTGGGGCGGTCGAAAATTTCATCTGGGGTACTGCGCAAAGTGTTAAACCTTGGTGGCGATGATTAAGACCCGAAAGTCTCTCAATCGGAAATCTGGACTCACCAAAGAGTCCTTCTTTTCCGGGACCGTGCAGAAACGGTCAGCACTTGCGCCGCTACCAGTGACCAAAATGGCCGCAAAGCACTTCAGGCGCTGGATCAGGTGATGCAGCCCCAGTCCGCTCTTTCCCACCAGCCGCCCCTCCTCCCGCTCCACGTAGCGGTGGGTGTGGCCTGCCCTGAGGCTCTTTTCCGAGGCGAGGAAATCTAGGGATTACACAAGCGCAGTTAAGGCCCCTCTGCCCTTCGGGCCTCCTCCCGCCCCCCGCCCCTCTCCCCCCTCCCCGCCCCGAATTGCCGGGCGGGGCTGGGCCGAGAGCCCAGCAGCTGTGGCTGGGGCTTCAGTGACTTCCTTGTTATGAGCCTCGGCTCGGCAGTGTACGGACTCTTAGCCCCGCTGTCCTTACCGGGATAGTCCGAGTCTAGATCGCAGCCGCAACCCTAGCGGGCCGGTTCCCCTTTCAGCACAGATCCTTTCCCTTCACGCCCCGAGCTCCCTAACATGCCCAACCCCAGCAGCACCTCCTCTCCCTACCCCCTCCCCGAGGAAATTAGGAACCTGTTGGCAGGTAAAGAGCGGGCAGGGGGCGGGTAACGCGGCGGGGGCGGGGGCGCGGGCGCGGGGACGGCGAGCCGGTGGGGACAGAAGCTGTCGGAGTCTGTGCCCTCCCTCCTGGCTCTCCCCACGCCTCCTGCCCCGTGGCAGCGGGACTGGGAGTGGGGAAGTGGGATGTGAGAATGGGAGTGGGCGTGTGTGCTGAAATTTGGTGCGAGGATGGGGGAAGCCCTTCTTGGTGGGCTTTACTAACGCGATCAGTGTATCGTGAAGATTGTGTGTGCGCGCGAGCGATCAGATCAGAGTGTGTGTGTGTGTGTGTGTGTGTGTGTGTGTGTGTGTGTGTGTGTGTGTGTCACAGAAAGAGATGGGGAAGGAGGGAGAAGTCAAAGAACTAGATCTTTGGTCCCCTGGCCGATGGAAGAGAAAGAGACTTCTGAGCTACAGGGGTTAGGAGTTAGGCGTTATGGGACCACAGGGTTTGTCATTTCTAAAACTCAGATTTTTCTTAAACATTCAGCCCACCCATATTTGAGACTTTCAAAGGGGGCCTGACTCTCAAATGACCACTTGTCTTCAGCCTGAGGAACATGTTACAGCAAAAAAGGAAGGATGTGTTAAAGTCCAGCTTCCTGTGACCATGAGTATACAGTATTTCGTATTTGCACCCCCATCTTCCCCTTTTAAGTCTTAAGTCACCGTTTGTAGGAACTTAGGAATTCTTAGGAAAGATGCATTCTTCAAGGCTGTTACAAATCCACTGCTAGTTCGTTATCTAGGATGGGAGATGTGTGTTTTCGCTAGGGGCCAATAAAAACTTATATTTCTGCACAACGTAGAAAATACATCCTTTTCTAGGGTAGCAAAAATTTTACCTATCCTGATGCTCTGGAATTCTTCCCATTATTCACTTTGTCATGTGTACATCAGAATTCTGAATATTGAATTTTTTTTTTTTTAAGTATCTTTCAATATTGGTCATGAAATACTGGGTTAAAAGTTTCTCTTAGATGCCTGTGATAGAATTTGCTTATTTTAACTCTTAAAGCAATATTTAAAATGTGGCATTATATGTAGTTACTGTTAGAGGACTGTGAGACTAAATCTCTTAATATGTTGTTAGAGTAAATAAAACGAGTAGTGTATGAATGCAGACATGTTTTGTGAACATGATTGCAGTGCTATGAGTGCATTTGTAGTGGGGCAATGTTTTACTCTAAGAAATGCCTGTTGTTAATGGGCACCATTATGGGATATACTGAAAGAACTGTAGGGGCTGAGTCAAGGCAGCTTTTATTCCGTTCTATGCGAGTTTCAAGTGACTGCTGACTTTGTTTGACTACAGTTACATGTGTGTTGTTACCATGCTGGGATTCCTTGCTTAGAATATTATTTTACCAGGTTAGAGAACTGTTGATCCTAACTCTAAAAAGAGAAGTCACCATTTTCAGGATATTTTAGATCTGAATTTTTGAGTTTAAGACATAAAGCATAGGCCCCTGGATACGTGCTTTTAAAGCTTGACAGCTCCACAGTAGACAGTTTGTAATCTGGATCCACAGGCATAATTTGCAGATAGTATGATATATAGGTTATGAGACTCTTTATTTCCTGATCCCCATGGATTACAAGTATTTCATGTAGCCCTTATTTGTGTAATTTAATTGAAAGCTCAGAATTAAATAATATTTAGGTTATCTGTCATTGCTAACTTCGTATATACTTTAGCCAATAATATCTGAAATTAGCATTTCAAAAATAATCTTGACATTTTCAGTATTTCACATTGTTGAAGTAAATCACATATTAAAACACATGAAATATTAAGAACAAATCTTAAAACATTAAAGTTCCAGTAATTACAAATTTGACTTATACTGTATTTTCAGAGGGTATTTTCAAGAGGTATGGCTATGAGGAAATATAAATGTCTATGATGAGATATACTTTAAAGAATTGAAACAAGTGAACCAGTGTTTTTCAGTTTTCTTTTTAAACTAGCCATTTGAAGAAAAATAGTTAATGTTTTATGGCTGACTTTAATTAAAATCTTTTTTTGTAGAGAAGTTTTAAAGAATAAGTGAGATCAGCAGTTTTACTCACATTTTGTTTTATTCAAGTGTTTGACTAATAGGATATGGTTAGATTTAAAATTATTAAAACTATAGAAGAAGAGTTGGCATTGGTTTGAATTTTAAAGATATTGCTGGCTTACCTGGTTTGTTCTTTGAAACTAAGGACATGTTGGCAGTGGTGCATGTAGTTAACAGTTGAGTGCTCTTAGAATGCATGGCACTATGCTAGAATTCCAAGGCAGGAAAGATAAAGAACTAAACTTTTCAAGCATTTAAAATCCCTTCAGAAAGAAAGAATCAAAGTCAAAAGATAGGCCTATCAAAAAAAAGTTTGGATAGCTCCCATTATGTTCTATGTCCCCTTTATCCAAATTATTATGTCACTCAGATGTATTAAATGTTTGACATTTCAACTGCTTGATAGAGGTAGGTGCTCAAATGTATTCTTATCAATTTTTAAATTATTTTCTTTCTCTTTTATTTTTCCTTTTGATTATAGTAATTTTAGTCTTTCTTTTCAATGTTTGTTCCCCCTTCTTCCTATTCCTTTGCTTAAAAACATGCTGTGGAAATGCAAAAATCCATAGAGGTTATCATTCTTGACTCACATTTGATGATGCACTTTAGAAACTGGCTATATAGTTTGTAGTTATTTATATTTCCATGGAATCAGTATATTCAATGTTGAAAACCTATACTTTTTATAAAAAGTATTAAATTATTTTCTTGTCCTATGAGTAGAAAAAGATTTACAGATTTTTGTTAAAAGCAAGTTGCAAACTGCCACATGCAATACAGGCAACCTTTAATTTTTTTTTCACAGCAATGGAAGAACAAGTTTAGCTTGGATAAATAGAAACAAAGGATAATCCCAAATTTTGTCCATATAATCTTCTCCCACGTCCAAATATTTTGACTAGGATGAACAGCAAGAATAATCATGATTTATGTGAGTTTTTCCTCCAGGCAGGCAAGAAAGTGAGAGGAATTAACTGCCCCCCCCCCCAATCTTGTTTAATCTCCCTTTGAATACTGGTCTGTTCGAGGTTTGCAGTCTGATATTCTCATTCATTTGTATTAGGACAGCACATTTAAAAAGGAAAGCTGTAGGAAAATGCCAGTTTCTTTTTATTGAGATAGAAAATGAAACCAATGCTGAAGGAAGAAAATGGTGGTTGTCAGCATGTACTCTGAAAAAATCAAACCCAAAACAAACAATAACGAGAGTGGTGTCTGCAAAGTGACCCTGAGAGTTTGTTCACTTGGCAGTCTTGATTAGAAATATTGCATTTTCCTCTATTGGGAATTTCTAGGACATATTTAAAAACCTTCACACATAATTGATAATCCCTTTAGGGACACTAGATAAGTAATGCAATTCAGCTGAGATAGAGGTAGACCTTTTTTTTTCTTTTGAATGCAAGAATAGTATGGTTTGATTTCTACCTTTCAAGTTCCATTTAAAATTTGGTCAACATTTTGGTTTTGTTTGTCTTCTGAGAATCATTGGTAGTGTATCTAGTGCCCCGTAACTTCCTTCTGGGGCATTGGGCAAGTACATAAAGGGAAGAGTGCCACCTACTGAGTCACCAATGGTCACCTTAGCACCTGGGTTTCCTACAGAGCAAGAACAAGCCTGCCCCATTTTGACAGTAATAACTAATGAGTTTAAAGTTGATAGGAGAACATTAGATCTTACAGTGAAATCAGTCCATGACACTTCTAAGATTTTCTCTTCTAGGAGTAGGAATATATGTTTGTAAATCAAGGGACGAGAAACTGATAGTTTCTTATATGGGTCAAATAACATAGATGACTTAAGATGTGATATTAGGAAAATTATTTGCCCATGTTAAGCATACAATATCCTACTTTTTCTTGGCAGGAATTTCTGATTGGCTTTTTTCCCCATGACTTTCCTTTTAAAGTATTTTCATCTCAGATTACTAAACAAAGCTCTTGATAGTATGCTTGTATGCATAATTTTATAGTTACTCAATCCAAATTATCACTGGTTTTCTTTTAAAAAAGAAATTAAAATATACTAGAAAGGAGAAGTATAAAAATTTAAAAATTTCTAAATGAGTTTAGCTCTACTTTATCCAGCATTACTGGAAAGAAGGTAGAAACAACAGAGTATGAAAAGCCTCTGGTGATTTGAAACACAGTTCAGTTGTCTCTCATAAATTTAAGATTAAGTGTCATATATGGGTGATAAAAGTGGCATAGGCTAGTTTTTATATACTCATTATTCACTTAGTTTGTCTTTTTCAATTAAAGCCAAGTCTATCTTTTTCATTCCACTGAGTTTACATTTCTTTTTCAATCACATGGTGAATACATTACAATAGATGCTACCTAACAGTGAATATAGTGTAAATCTCAGATTAATGTTTTATTCACTGTGGCTTCTTTGAAAATAAGATTTTGATCATTTTAAAGTGCTATTTATCAAGAGTCATCTTTTAGAGGTGAAAAATGTTCATCTCTATCCTTCAGCAGTCCAGTTTCCTACCAAATAAATCATTTAGCCTCCAAAGCCAACTTTGAAAATTTTGTCAGATGAATGGATGGTAAGACTCAGGTATGTTTTACTTATCATACTGTTAGAACTTCTTGTGCTTGCTCATGTCCCTTTTTCCATGTTTGAAAAGTCCACATTCAACCATGACCTATAAAAGTGCTTGAATAATCAAGAGAATGACATTTATTAGATAAATCAGTAACTTTTCAATTAGCCATTTCCCAGCTTTGGGCATTGAGCTTAACTGGTCTACATGTACCCAGTGTACATGTAGATTTTATGTTTTCATAAACATAACAGATTGTATGTTTTCACCAGTGCATGTTTGGTGAGACCGTACCCTCCTTTACCAGAGATGAAAAGCTTCTCTTTTTGTTTTGGTGCCAACTTCAATTCTAGGCTGGAATTCTTACCACATTAAGTTTAGTGATAGCACCTCAGTGAATACAAAGTGAAATTTGGCCTAATTCATAAAGTAGAGAAAGTTGTGGAATTAAGTAGTAAAGCCATCTGGGGTATGGGAGTATGGTGTGATTGGTTTTACACTCATTTTGTTGATATGGGGCTGAGTACATGGTACTGGATTCACTTTAATTCTTGCCTCTCTCTTCTATACAAATCAGGCCATCACAGAGGTTTTGTGTGTGTGTCTGCACACTTGCATGCCTGCCCAGGAAGGTGAAGTATTGGCTGATTGGGGGACTAGGCAGAAGACACACCAGGTGTTATCTCTGTGACTTGTTTACACTCACCAGTCTGGAAGTCGTATTCCAGGCTGTTTGCTGGTGGAGGATGTGAAGGCAAGTGGTCAAAGCCTGGCTTTGTTTAAAAGTAGGAACCTGTGCTATGTACTCAGCTTGGAGAAGCTGACAGATTATAATTTGCAAGAATTTAAAACCGGTTATAACCTCGTGTGGTTTCACTTTTTCACTCTGTAATCAGTATGGAAATTGGTAGTAAACTGTTAGCGCTTGCGCGCGCGGGTATGTGTGTGTATGTGTGTGTGTGTGTGTATGTGTTAGATACCTGTCCTTGCCTTTGGGGCTCTAGGGGGGAGATGAGTGGCAGTTTTTCTAGGGGATCGTATGTACAAGAAAAGAAAGAAAGAAAAAAAAAGGAAAATTGGAGTACCACGCGGTGATGTGGTGTGTGTTAAGTATTTGCCTGTTAGGGATTGAGATGATTATTGAGAGGTTTCTTACTTAAACTGTTTGAGGATTGCTGAGCCAAGACTTGATATCATCTTTTAATTCTGTTTTCAGACCTTAACATTTATCTACAGAGCAGTCGCAAATCAGATTATTTTCAGTGGCCCTCTCCCCAGTATCTTTACAGTTACACTAGGAGATCAGGTTTACTCTTGACAGTGTTAAGGTGTAACAGGAGCAAAAATCACCACCACATTGGTATTCGCTGAGTAACTGTTTCCTTGATGATGACTTGGGGACAGAAGCGGATGGAGATGGGGTTAAATGCGGGCGGCGCTGACCTGTGGTCTAGGTGAGAGGCGGTGTTTAGGGGTTGACCCAGTGTTTAGGGGGCGCCGGAACTGCGCTTTCTCCACGTGGCCGGGTGGGTCCCTAAGCTTCTCCTCTCCCGCGGAGTACGTGAGTGAGCCGAGATTTCCTCCTCCGAGAACGAGGAATTCTATCGAACTCACCAGGCCAAGAGGCCAACGAAGACGCAGGCTGACCTTTTCTTGTAATCTAATTACGGCTGTTCCCCGAATTACAGGCAGTCTGGAGTCAGTGAAATCTACATATTAACAGAGGGACACGACCCCTAAAGGAAGGCAGGAGAGGGCTTGCTAGTTTACCGTTTGCAAGGCTATTCAGAGCACAATAAAAAGCTTCAGATCTCTTTTCCAACCTGCCAGGGAAGTGCTTGATTCGCCTAGGACTTTATTGCTTGCTTTTGAAATATAACCCTGGCTCTGAGCTACAAAGTCACAGATCCATCCCATTTGTCTAGCTAGGGCGCTGCCCCAAACCAGTGCTCTCTGCTCCCAGCTCTGATGACGGGAACCCTGGGGCTTAACATTCCAAGTGTCTCGGACTGCGGAGCTCAAGCATCTTACGGTGAAGCTGGAGTAACTTCTCAGCACCCACTCTATCTTTGCGCCGTGGGAGCCGGTCGGTGCTCGGCGAAAGCCGCGGGCATGTCCACGGGGTCTCCTGTGTCTGCGAGAGGCTGGTTTAGTTCGATTTCAAAATAAATGGGCACTGTATGGATTTCCAGAAAGAAAGACAAAAAAAAAATTTTTTTAAGACCAGTTGAGTCTGTGGGCACCAACAAACTAAGACTATTACAAGAATCACTTCCACTTTGAAGTTCTTGTTTTTAAAAAAAATAGGAAAAAAAAGGGGGGGGGGACCCAAAGCAAGTTCTGTGCTTTCCATATCTCCTTTGTGAATTAATCTTAAAAAATAACCAATGTTTATTAATCTTTTTTGTTGCCTTAAGCCGCTTTTCTGGGATAAGTTTAGGAATAAATACATTGAGTACTCTAAAAATAGAGAATTTTCTTCTTGAGCAATCTCTGAATCGCCTCCCCCTAAGAAAATAAACGACGCAAATTCTTTCTGCAGTCTCACACTCTTTCAGCAAGTATTTCCTCATAAAATAGCATAGCTTCAATAATTTAAAAATGTTTTTTTGGCACTGTTAGGAAACACTATATAGAACGTTAAGCTTTTTGTTCTCTGAGTTTTTATAGAACTGAAAAGACCTTGTAAAGGAATAACTCTTGGGCTGCAGTTCGTTCTGTTATTGCTTCCGGAGATAGAAAATAGATCCTGTTTGTTTAAACTTGGATTGTGTAATGAAAATGTAAAATAGGCAATTAAATGCTCGTGTGGATGAGGGAATTAAAGACAAATACTGAGTGAAAGTTAAATTAAGCACACTGTTTACCAGTCGTTATGCCAGTGATTCTCCCAAGTACTGAGTGTACTTGGAGTAAGAGGCGCTACCTCTCTTACTTCACTTTCTTAGTAGATTTATTGGAGTCATCTCAGAGAAGCCAATGATTTTTTCCATTTCAGCTAATAATCTGAATGTCCAGAGGTTGCTTACTCCTCTGGGTACAAAATTTAGAGTTGGGAAGAGAGTGCTTTTTTTTTTTTTTTTTAAACAAGTCTGGTTGTTTTGAACTCATTTAGAGGTGTGGGTCTAATTTGCACTGGTACTGGATTATGTCTCTGTATCCCCCTCTTCAAAACATAGGCAGCTCAAGGAAGGAGAAGCTGTGACATTTTGCTTTTGTTTTTTTAGACACTTTTAACATGTCAGTAATGGACTTCAAACCAGAGAGCTATTTTAAAAAAATTATTCCAAGACTAAATTTTAATTATTTCACTTGTCATATTGATTTATTGAAAGCTCACCTTTACATAATTTGTTTAGAGTGTGTAGAATAACAGTTTAATCAGCTTTGCTCATTGGATCAAGGTACTTTTGTAATCAAGAATTTAAAATCAATTATAACATCTGCTTCAAATATTAGGTTTTAACTTGGTAATTATAAGTACAGTTGAAAGACTATTTGTTATAATGCTTTGAATTAATTAAATATAATATTGTTGTATATTTTGATACCATCCTTTTATCAGTGTGAGTTAGGAGACAAATTAGTTAAATAAAAAGAAAATAGAACATATACACATCTTTTCAATATGAAATATGGGTGGTTTATAGGCATACCTACTGAAAAAATTTTAATGGTATCCTCTATATTAAATATCTCATTGAGATTTGAAATTCTGATTATAAAATTAAAATTGTACAGTATTTCATGAACAATAAGAGTGGGGCTATTATAAAATCAAACCAGTAAGAATTTGATGGCATTGCACATTAGAATTAAAAAGCAGCATAGAAGTTTATTAAATTAAAAAAGAAGGCTATGTGAAATTGTGCATGAGGCCATAGAAATGTTTTCTGTTGGTTACTATATTTTAAAATAGTGGATAAATCTATTTTTGCCACTTTTTCCTTTATTTTAAGAAGTATTTCCAGGTAGTAATGCCAAGACAGGATACAGGAGCACACAAAACCACACAACTGATTATCTTTTTTATTTGAGAATAGCTGGCCAGAGTGGGTGGGGCAGGTAGGAAAGAAGAGGGTTTGATTTGGAAATCTTGGCTAGAATAAGGGATTTTTTTCCCCCTTTAAAGCAGTTAAGCATGACATATGACTGAAAGTTGATTACACTGGGAAAAGCAGCTTTTGCCAGAGACATTAGCTTTTATTGATATAATATTGTGAATGACCTGTTCGTATAGGAACTTACAAAGTACTATAAAATAATAGTAACATATGCATGTAAACTCTGTGCTTGCTTTTATACAGGAGAATTTGTTTATGGGGCACCATAGTTTATTAAAACTTGCATATTTCTTCCTGGTTTAATGATGCCAAACATTCAAATAGCATTCGCTGTGCTAAACATAAGTAGAACATACACATTTTATTAGCTAAGTGGTGAACAGATTTATCCAATTTAGTGTTTGAAACATACTTCAACTGTTATGCTTTGGATTGATAAATAACTGTAACAAATTGTACAGATATTAATACTTATGGGTAGAAACAATCATTATCCTATTTGTCTTCACGAAAAAATGATTCTTTCCTATAATTTGTGTCCTTTTTCTTATATTTCATGGTTTAGATGTTGAAACATTTGTAGCAGACATACTGAGAGGGGAAAATTTATCCAAGAAAGCAAAGGAAAAGAGAGACTCGCTTGTTAAGAAGATAAAAGATGTAAAGTCTATGTAAGTCACTTACTTGCCTTTTATTACTTATTTCTTACTTAGAAGAAGTGTAATTAACATTTTAATGAAGAACTGATAATTGTGGAATTAAATTTTTTAGATTCTAATCTAATTGAAGTATTTTAAAGGACAAACTATTTCTACTATAATAATTTTTAAAAACAGACATCCTTATCATAATACCCTTTTTTGTGAAGGCTCTTGATTATCTATTTTTCTAAGTATTTTTGCAAAATCCAACTGTTTATTTTGGTTACTTGAGAAAATATTTGGTTTCACTAATAAGGCTTAGGTAGGTTGAGAATTTTAACATGAATATGGAAAATACCTCCAGATACTCAAATAAATGTAATTTAAGTTGTACATTAACAATATATTCTAATTTTACTACTGTAACTTGAGTCTTTAAAAATACCTTTAGTATAAATTCATTAGCCTTTTGGAATTACCATTTCAGGGTAGGAAGTAGTTTTTTTCTCTAAATATGTATTCATAGTATAGATTTTTAAATAGATTTGAATCATTGCCACTGATTAAATCTTGTTTTAATTTGTTAACCTTTTTTTAAAAAAATAATGTTCTTGCTTTCTTTTACAGTTATCTTCAGGAATCTCAAGACAAAGGTAAATTTTCAAGTTTTGGTAAACCTGTCATTTTTTTTTCCCTTGCAAAGATTTTCAATAGGAAAATCTGACACATGCTGAAATTTGATAGTTGGAATCAAAATTTAAATTTCAGTGTTGTATACCTAGACTTTCAAGATGAGAGTGCTAGCTCCCCCTGCTGAGAATAAAATTAAAAAGCTTATCTAGCTTTTTGATAGCATCTTTTTATCAGTGTGAGTTAGGAGACAGATTAGTTAAAAACCCTGCGCAGTCTTTTGATACAGAAATCTGTGTTTAACATTCTTAGGTTTTGTGGTTCTTAGAGTTCACGGTGGCAGAAATTTGTTAAGAAAGGTATATACCTGCAGTTATACATGGAAGACTTTGGTGAGGCAGAGGAAAGATACCAACGCAACACCATTTAATCCTGTAGGGATTACTTTATAGTGGTGATGGAAGCAGGAGGGCCTGTGACTGAGTGCTCATAGATGACATTTCTAAAGGATAATTGTTTTGAAAACTCTCAATTTTTGTTTGCAAATGTGAGTAAAATCTGTTTCACATGCTCGTTTTTATTATTCTTGTGTTTCTTTTGAGATGAATAAATGTATGCAGTAGGCATTTTCAGAGAAGGTAATTCAGTTTCCTTTTTTTGGAAATATGTGAGAGTGCTGGTAAGCTGATTGTCTTCCTTTAGATTTGGGAGACAGCTGCTGAGTGTACTGAAAACCAAGTTTAGAAAGGCGTCGGAAGTCTCCACCTTTGACGTCTTCAGTTTTGTAAGAGAAACTTGGTATGGCCCTTACTTCCATGATGCTAATTCATGGGTCATGACCTGAAGCCTGTGGATGCTGGTATGAGGGTCAAAACATGAGGTCAGTTAACTATGTGGAGCTAGGCTCTGGGTTTGGAAGGAGTCGTGTAGCATCTTCTAACTGTGGTTAGTTAGCAGATACCACAGAGTAACTCATATCTCTGCTAACTGATAAGTGAGAGAGTAATGACAGTTTCAATAAACCAAGTACTTAAGCAGACAAACCTAAAATCAAACAGTTAAAAGGAAGCCACAGTTTCTTTCACATTGTCATCAAGATTGTTGTGATTGGAGGAAATAAGAGTTTTTTTTTCCATGTTAAATTTTTAGACACTATTAAATAAAGGGAAGAGCAGGAAACTTCTCCTCTCCACAAATGCCTACTTATTTGTACTCTGCAACGAATCCTGAACTGTGGGTTTAATCATGTTGCATTTTGCTTAGTTGAGTATAGAAATAATGCATTTATGCATTTTAATTGTAACTTTTATACAAAGCACTGTTTATAGGGGAATATTACATGTCAGATTCTGCCTTTTTTCTTAAAACACACATTTTGTTCTAGTGACTGTTGGACTCTCATTGTGACTTCATTATTTGTACATTAAACATTTTTAAGCTAAGAAAATGTGAGAGTATAAAGTCATTGCAGAATTGCATATGATTCAATAATGGGATAGGAATTTTCCCTTTGGTATTTTGGTTTAGGACTTGTTCAGGTGTGTGGATATTAAAATTACATTACTGAGATACATTCTTTGTCTCTAAAGAGAATGGAGGTTTATATAGTATTTGATAAAAATTGAAAAATGAACCTAGAATACGAGTTCAAATAACACAGAATTCAGAGATTCCCCATAATTGTTTTCCTCTGAATAAGTCATTTGTAGTTCAATACTGCTGTATTGAGTTAACTAATCACCAAGAGTGCCTGTTCAAAAATAAGCCTGTGGATAAATTAGATCTATACCTTGGAGAAATATGAGAAGCTAAGTAATTTTATGCCATTCTACCCTTAAAGTATAATTCAGCTGTTCTAAAAAGACTACTCATGTCGTTTGTTGGAAATATTAAAGGGATGTTAGTATAGGCTTAGTTGTTGAATAAGCAGTTGTTCAAAATACATCTTTTTTAAAAAATAAGCGTTTATTAATAGATCCTATATTGAATAAATTTAGTTCATCTAAGTATATTTTGATAATGCTGCTTTTCTTCTTTTTCCTTACATTTTCTTCTTGGAGTTTTTGGATTGTCTTTATCCAAGGAGACTTGGGCAGAATTCCTTTTGGCCGTTTCCTCTCTCTCAGGTCAATATGGGGTCACAGTGAAGTGACCAGAGGCTGTTTTCCTCCTTTTTACCTTTATATTCCTATTTGTTTCAAGTACTGTTTTTTATATGATGGTTAAGTACAATTTTAATAATATTAGGAGAAAAAGACCTGGAAGAGCGTTCTTAAATAAAGTGAATTAATTCACATTTATTCATCTTGCATAAATGACTTGTTACTTTCTCTAATGTACACAGATGTCTGTCATCCTTCCTTGCTTTCCTCTCACATCTCTTCTTATAACCTTTAGATATTGTACATGACATAACTATCTAACCATAGTTTTTTATTGTTAGTTGCAATATAGCCTCATAATATAAAGTATACTCCTAAATATAGGCTTCATGCCCTAGAATTATATTAATTTTAGGATTGTGATTGTTTTAGAATTTGTTCTCTGTCACATGATAAGGTCATAGCACTCTTAAATGTGTCTTGAAATACATTACTACTTGAGTAAACAGTGTTGTTGACTGAGTATGAAATAGAATTTTCTAATACATATTAGGTATATAATAAAAAAATTTACTTGTAGTTGTATCTTGTCCTTACATCAGGCTTGTTTTACTCCAGTGATGACTTTGGTGTTATTATTTTCTTTACAGAATGATTAAGATAATGTGAAGATAGCTATGCATGGCACATAGTGTTCAGTATTATATTAATGTGTATTCTCAGATTCAACTTCATTATCAAGAAGATTTAGTAAATCTTGATTTATAATTCAATCTTCAAATAAATTTCAAGGAAACCATAAATTACTAAAAGAAGGGCATGCATTATTAACATATGTTAAATATTTTCAAGAGAATATTTTTCAAATATTGATATCTACAGCTTTAAAAAATGTGAACATATTACAGTTCCCTTTAGACGTCATAACTAAAAATGCTCATTTTCTCCTTTAAAATATTTTTCCTTAAATTAAAACTATTCAATGGATTTTGTCCTAAAACTCCATTGATGTTGAATAGATTTACTGAGAAAGCAACTTCCTTTGACCTCATTGGTATTATTAAGTTTATTAATAAACTGCTTTTTTGAGTAACAAGGTGGTTAGGTAAGAAGGGACCCATTTTAGTTGGTTCTGATGGAATCCTTGAGAGCAGCAGAAAAGTCATTTTGGATCATGTTAAATTTCCTTTCTTTTACCCTTCCTAACATAGTATATGTTCTGTTGAAAGTTAGCTCCCCAGTGAAATCTGCACAAATAACTTGCAGCTCCTCCACCTCATCTCTGGCCTTATACAAATGGGTTAAGCATATTTGAGTTTGGGGGCCTGTAGCAGTAGAAGTGTATTTCAAAGGTAGTGCTTGAGGAATGGTATCCTTCCTTTAAAACTGCCTCATATTTGCATGCTATAAATTAGCCCTTGTGTGGTAGGAGAGTTGTGGAGAAAATCTTACTTGTGGTGAATCAAATCTTCCAAATTTTTAAGAATTAAACTACAGAAAAAGAAGTGACAAGTTAAATGCTTAATTATGTCTATTTAGCTGTGTATTGTTACTTAAGAAATTATTTTGGACGCATGAACTAAGTAGAAAATTAGGAATTAATATTTTCCATTCAAATAATTTCCCCCACCGAGTTTGTATTTCATTTTCTGTGAAAGGGAATGGTTATCATCTGAATTTTAGATATGTTATTTAGTTTAATGTTTACCTGATTGCATCTAAAATAGGACTGTATTTGCTAAAACAAGCAGTAGATTGGTTAAATCACCTTTCGTAGTGGGAGCGCTCATCACTGTTCAATTGCTATTGGGCTTTTATCTCCAGGCATTTAGGAAAACATTAATTGATCATGGAGCTATGTTAAAAAGAAGGGATAATAGTGATTTGAAACCAACTATTAAAAATTTAAAAATGTTTTTCAAAGAAATATGTTGCTGTGGTACGATTAAGCCTTGATTTTGCTGTGTTGTTTAGCTCGCCAATGAAATTATAGGATGAGAAGTCTTGGATCATTGTCTTTTAGATTGTTAACTTTGTATCATTAATTAAACTTTTGAAAGTTGTGGGATAAATCAAATGCTTTTCTAGGGAAACAAGAAACAGTATTAATGAGCAACAACCCTATAATTATCCTTCTGAGTACATAACAGGGACACATTCATGTCTTTTCTTTGCGCAATAACTTTTACAAAGAAGTATTTTTAAACTGATCATTAATTTTATGACCATAGAAATGAGATGCAAAATTTATGCTGTTGTCATTGGCACAGGCTCAAGGCACCACTGACATTATGTGTGATTGTAATAGAATGGCTGCCAACTAATGATTCTGTAGACATTTCATTTGAGCAAGCTTTTCTTTTAGATGTCTGATTAGCTGTAATGCTTTCAATTATGTCTGTAAATTGTATTGGATGCGTTTACCTGATGCTCATTGTTGCTTTGGAGTTCAGCTTTCTATTACACATACACAAGTTGAACATTTTCCTTTTAATTTATCAAAATCTTTGTAGGTATAGCTAGCTGCAAGTCCTCAGCCCCTGGGGAGAAAAAATGCTTTGTACTACTCAACAGCGACCCCTGTGTTCAATTAAGGCCCCTTATAATATAGCTGCTCTTTGTTGAATTGAAAAAAAATTAGAGAGTCAGGGAAAAGGGATAAGTCATCACTGAACAACAGTAACATGAAGACCATTTTGAAAAATGATGTGTTTTTTCAACTTCATGCAAGTTAAAAAGGGAATAACCCTGTACACATACCACAGAGATTCATCTTCTTTACTTTCTGAATTAAATTCAAGGGAAGCTTAAAAAGGGGGGGGGGGAGGGGGCTGGGAGGGAAGAAATAAGGCCAATAGCAGTATGTAACGTATTTTTGTCTTAGATAAATATAAATGTCATAGTAATTTAAAAAACAAATCTATGAAATGAACTACAGTTCTTAGAATGGGGAAATTGAAGATAATTTCACTTTACAATCCAAAAACTGTTCTTTTTTTTTTTTTAAAGCACAAAAACAAATATAAAACCCACAAAGATCTTTAACATGTCAGTGACTAATTTGTGTAGAATATTCTTCCCTTATATTAAATGTTATTGTATTTATAGCTTTAATAGTGATCTTTTTGCTGTGTATGTGTATGTGTACATACATGGATATATACACAAAATATATAATAGATGTTATCCAAGGGTAATAAACTAATTCTGATTTTTTAAAATTAAAATTTTTTTGGTTTATTTCCACATAGAATTTAATAGATTTAAGCCTGAGCATCTGAATTTTTAAAAAGATTCTTTCCATGAATCGTTAGCTTTATTGTCATGTTTATATATTCTTAATAGTATAATGTGCTAACTAAGTTATGGTGATGTGGTTGAAATGTCCTAATACTTTTTTTCACAGCAAGATTTATAGTTCATGATATACTTTAGAAAATTTATAACATAAAACTTATTACTTTGTTAGGGATAGAAGGATACGCTAACAATCTTGAACAGTTGGGAATTTTGTGATCTTTACAACTGTGTATTCCATGAGCTATTATTTCATTTTCAAACGTATTTTTACTAGAATTTTGTGAGGTTCTGTCTTACCTCATATTTTAAATCAGACCACTCTTCATTCCATGAGAGAAATATTACAAAGAATCACTGAATGTTCTGAGAAGTACCTTGATCATCTTGAAAGAAAGATAAATTAAGATCTGAAGAAAGAGCAATATTTGTACATGTTTCTTGGAATTTTAATTGGGAAAAAAGCATCACCAAGTATGGTGCACATAATGGTGTGATCACTGAGGACGATAAGGTAGTCATCTCTATAGTCTGCTCTCATTGTCTTGGTGGGAGATGTCCTTATCTTTACTTCCAGGGTAGGGATGATAAATGTTGATAAAATGTCAGAATTTTAAGAAAATAGATACGAATATTGATTTTTATTATTTTGAAAGTATTGTCTTGGAAGAGGCTATTTTCTCTATCAAAATATGTTGAAAGTAGGGTGCAACCCATCAGAAGGATGTCAGAGAATTACAGACATCCTTTTGGAGAGCCCAGTAGCTTTAATCTGGATCTGCCCAACAACTGTGATCTAAAAAGTGATACTGAGGCACTCGAGGGTTCCTACGAAGATTTTTCACTAAGGTTTAGGTAATACCTCAGGTGACTGGTTTTCTCTTGAATTTCTAACAAGTAGCTTGAATTGTTAACAAATCATTGATATGTATTAAGCATACCTTTTTCTTTCTTGTTGAATATGGATGAAGAATGAGTGATTAGGTATGGCTAGTATATAGCAAATATTTGAATCACTCTTTTAAAAAATTATTCTAAATGAGTATATGGAAAAACCCAAACCATAAGATTTTATTGTGGAGATTAAATGACTTCACCCAATCAGCCTAAGGTTTGGAGATCATCTAGAAAATTAGCTAGAATATAAAAAAATAGCATATCACTGAATGAAAAGTTGGAAGTGTCTAGTTTGTAAATCACCTTGTCTGAATTTAAAAGGTTTATATGGATTTTAAAGCAGTTTTTCTGTAAAAGATTCCTGCTCTTAAAAATGAAACTGAGTATCTTTAATTTGTTCAAGTGTAATTGTGTGATTTTTACTGAAAATGTAAAATGTTCATATGGCTTTGATTTATCAATTTCTCATCATCATTTTTCCAGTTATTGAGTAGGTAAATGGAATTAACTAGAATTATTTTTTCTTGTGCTTGCCATGATTTTTTTGGTTGCTCTTATTGTTATTTTGGTTTTGTTTGTTTTGGATACACACCATGTTTTAACCTCCTTCTACTATTTTATATTCATCTTTGTAGAGACCATAATAATTTTGTAACTTGTACCCTTCCTTTTGTAACAGAAAGAAGCAGTTGTATACTGACTTTCAAAAACTATTACTTTTATCTAAATTACAATAGATATACATTAAAATAGCACCTGTTTTTACCTAGTTCAAAAAGTTTTCTTTGTTCTTCCATGAAAGTGACTGAATTTAATAGTACAATTTACCTCTTTGACAAAGTAACACTTTTTAAAAATGGCTAAATTATAAAAGACTTTTCTCTGATTCTTTTCTGTTTGTTTTTTTAAATAGTATTTTTAAATTTACTTTTTATTTTATATTGGGGTGTAGTTGATTTACAATGTTATGTTAGTTTCAGGTGTACCACAGAGTGGTTCAGTTATAATGTGTATCCATTCTTTTATCTCTGATTCTTTTATAGGTGATGCAGAAGATGGCGAAGAATACGATGACCCTTTTGCTGGGCCTCCAGACACTATTTCATTAGCCTCAGAAAGATATGATAAAGATGATGAAGCTCCCTCTGATGGTATGTTACATTTTCTCATAGAATATACCTCTTGACACTCTTAACACAGAACAATGCAATATGTAAAGGTGGTGATCTTGTCAGAAAGCAGATAAACACAGAAGCTTCAGTTAACTTACCTTTACCAGAACCTTTTAAGGAACAGAAGAGCTCTCTCTAGTGGTTTTCCTAAGTATGTAGTTCCTTCTTCTCCTAGAAGATTTTCTTTACTTGAATTTTGAGGACAGTACTTGTATCATATGATCATATAAATATTATTAGTATACTTGTTGGTTAATTTAATATTATCAGATTCTTGCTTAATTTTATTGGGCTGCTTAATGGCTTGTTGTATTATTTATTTTATAAATAATGAAAAAGGTTTTTGATCTCTTTTTTCCTGAAAACTTCATACAAAATGAGTTCATAAAATATTAAATTAATTATTCCTACATTGCCTTCTCTCATCGAGACACGTTTTCATCAAATGCTTCGTTTATATACATTTTAATTTTTCTAATTGTCATCTAAAAATATCCCACATTATACAGTAATATTATAGTATTTTGTATTAATTGAAATGGTAATAAAATTGATTCTTTATCTCTTAGTAATTTTTAAAAACTTGCAAAGTTAATGAAACTTGTTTTTACTGTAGCATGTACTTTGTTGTGCCACCCAGTTGAGTGCATCTGAACTATAGAGACCTATGAGGGTGATATATAGTTACAAATTAAGAATGCATATTGATAAATTAGCCATGCATATTAATTTGTGGCACTCAAAGTTTCACATAGACATAGAAATGAATAATGCTTTCTGCCACTATATGATGATCAAACTGTGCAGTTCCATCTCTAAATACAATTGCTGAATGAAAATATGCTTCCTGCAACAGAGCACTCCACATTTTATGTTATCCAGATTATTCCCTTTGGAAACATAAATTGCTTTTATGAGGTATAAAATTATGTCTATTGCAGAACAGGGATAAGTCAAGTACATGCATAAGTGATAAACATTCTAACCACTGATTCAGAACAACACAGTCTTTTTTTTTATATTCAGAACTTTGTACAATGTGTAGCAACAATAGTCATATCCATTTTGTGTCTAATTTTACATTTTGGCAAACATTTAATATCTATTTTTAAAAGGAAAGAATTTCTTTCTCTTATAGGCTCTATTTTTTTAAAAAAAATGCATATTTCTCTTCAGTTGCACTTAGTATATGAAACAGAGCATTACTCTTTCTAGCTTATCTTCAAAAGCATTTCTACTAGAAAATGTTTTATCATCGATGAAGTAATATTTTCAGGCAAAACAATAAATTATTGTTTGGGTTGAACTATTTTTCAGACACATTACAATATTTTGTTTTGCTTGTCTGTAAAATGTTAGTATACAGCAATGAGTTTGTTTATATGTATACATGTATGAAGAATATTTATCTTATGAAAATATATATACATATATTTTATATGTATATATATACATATATATGTGTACATATATATATATACAAAATATATATACATATACATACAAATATATTCATAGAATATATATGCTCAGCCTTTCTCAAAATAACATAAATATTTTGATGTACAAGAGAGCATTATGTACCTTCTTGAAAAAATCACAACCTAAGAAATCCAACAATTAAATATCTGTGAGAGCCAGTGATTTGTTAAGGAAAAGTGAATTGCTATTGTATAGTGCATTTACATGATTTTTTTTTAATGGGTAAATAATGTATCATATGTTTGTTTTCATAACCAGATATACAGGAAATATATTAATAGCACAAGAAGATTTATTGTTAAAACATTGTCAATATTTGAATATTGTTTAATAAATTATATTTGTGTGTAACATTTAAATTTTAACTTGTTAAATATTGCATTTTCATCAGTATTTAAGCAATTCCTAGATTGAAATTTTAACCTCTGGTATTACTCATTTTTAGTATATAAGCAGCACTATTTTTGATAATTTTATATTTTCTCCTAAGAATGTTGTAAGTTAATTTTAAAACTACTACTTGAACTTTTAATTCCACTCTGAAGTATTATCTAATCGTATTGGTGTTTCCTCCCTGCAAGTTAGATTTCATATGTGTTCTCTTTGCTTTGCTGAATGAAGTTTCCTTCATTGTGTGACCTCAGTCTAATGATATATTAATTATAAAATGATAATGCATTTAACAATAACTGTAACTAAATTAGCATGGGTCACCAAAAGGCCTTTTGTCAAATCAGATTGTTGTTTTGTCCTTTTGACTTTTACCTTATGGTAGGCACTAAACAAAGTATTTCAACTTTGATGGATTATAAACTCCAAACATGATATGTATTTTTCATAATGCTAATGTAATTTTCAAGGTACTGAAAAGGTCAAACCTGCACATCTCTGTGCATTCTAAGTCTGTCTTTTCCTTTAATATTTCTTTTTCTCTGTTCCTCTGGTTCAAAAGTTCACTCAGTTCCCAAATGGCTACCTAATTTTCCAGTTATTCCCTCAAGCCATATGTGTTTTGGTTTCTTTATGGTTTATTAGGTACTGTAGGAAAGTAGCATAAGTTATATCTTCTAATGAAATTCAAGCACACTTCAGTGATGCTTCGACTTGATTGCTGGTAGCAATTAAATCACAGCCAAGGAGAATAATGCATATTCTCACAAGGTCCAGACGCCCTATAGAAATTGAAAGGGAATGAAAATAGAAAACAAAAACAAAGTCTTCAAACCCTGCCAGACACACTGTTTCCAGCCTGCCTTTTTTTTTTTTTTATTGGCCAATTGCCTGATTGATAGCAAAATCATAACTTGCTGCATGCTAACAGGCAGAGTTCACTTGTAGGTTATTGTGAACTGATAAAGGGTTAGATGGAGTTTTGATTTTCGCATTGGACCTTGGTACACTGGATTAATGGAATTTCAATGAGCGACTAGAGTAGCCACAGCTTTGTCAGAGTAACAAATGGAGATTCTATAGTCATGTCTACTCATTAATACTAGTTGCCTGAAAGGTGTGCTGCTTCCCTATACAAAAGAGTTGATAAAATTGATTTTCGAATGGTTCTTTGAAAAAAAGTACCTTATTGATGAGCAGAATTGTAACATAAATGGTGACAGATTTTCGTAAAGCTTGTAGCTTAAAAATAATGTACTTTGTAATTTTTCTTCTCTCTCTTTAGAAACACTTTTTAATTTTTGAGGGAAATACATTTCATAAATGATTTCATGACTGCTGTTAGTTACATTTTGATTTGGTGACACTTATAAAAATTATGTTTATTAGAAATTTCATTTTATTAACTTTATGCTCTTATTTTAAAAAAAAAACTTAAATCGTAATGGTTTCTAGGCTTTTGTAAGTCACTGTTAGTTTAATGCTATCATATGGCTGGATATATTGAAGTGTTAATAGAAATGATGCATGTCAGTAATCATATAAAATTAGAGATAATAAAACTTAAGACCTTGAAGAATATCCCTTATCATACATGTTAAAATGTTTGTTTAGGCACTAAGACAGTAGATGCAGGGTAGCTTTTAGATACCATATAATGACTTGGGTTTCTGTTTTTCTATTCTGAAACCATTTTTCATTCATTTCCATTATTTGTGAAAGAAAGCTTCTCACTGTGTAGCGTGGAAAGTCCCTAAGGTAAGGTGAAAGGATTCAGTAAGCTAGAAGACGTGTATTGGCTCGCCCATCGATGTTAGGTCGAAGAATCCCAGTGGACATTTGTTACAAATTTGATTCAGTCCTAGACCATAATCACTTTGTGGATAGAATCTGGAACCTCTAGGGTGTGCATATAGAAAGAGGCAAAATGAAGCTTAAGATAGAAAATAGTCATTCGTTGTCCTGGTATTTTCTTAACTAAAAATTTCCAAGTAATAGAGGTTACTAAAAACTGTGGACATTACAAGAACATAGGTTTGTATGAAAAAATACTTGTTTAGGTATGCACCTATTTTAAAAGTTTGGGATTAAGAAAAAAGACTATGCTGTTTTGATCATCATTTATAATAGTAGAGCATGTTTTCTCATTTTTTGGTATAGTTCTTAAGAAAAATCAGTATATGAAAATTTGAATTTATAGAGCATATAAATCATTTATTCCAATTGATTACTTTGATTATCTCTATGATGCCTATAAATAATGAACTCTCATAATGCATCTACAGCCAGTTTAGATATATACACTTCTGTGTGCACAATCTAGATTTAATGTGTCAGTTTTTACACATTATACACCATCTTTTGAGGAAGATTTTTTGTTTTTAATGTAAAGTTTAGGTGTAGCACTAGTCAGTTCTTATAAAAGCCAAGCAATAGATGTGTTACTTTTCTCTGTGTTCCAGTAGAATGTAAGTAATGTTTAAAACCAGGAAAAGCAAGGTTCTTTTCTATGGCCAAGAAGCCTGTGGGATCCTGCCCAACCAAGGATGGAATCCATACCCCCTTCAGCGGGAGTGCAGTTTTAACCACTGGACCACCAAGGAAGTCCAATGAGTTTCTTTCAGTAACTGGCCTTTTAGGGTAAATGTTTTCCAACCACAGTGTCATGTGGTTTTTGATAGTAAAAATGATACTACATAATTTAATCTAAATTTTGAGAATTTAGATTAATTTGCAACTTACACATTTCTTTGTATACATAACCTATTGTTGCACTTGTGTTTTTATTTTTATTTTTTGCTTTCTTTTTTTACAGTTGTATTTATTTATCTGTTTTTGACTGTGCTGAGTCTTCATGGCTGTTCTCTAGTTGTGGTGCATGGGCTACTCCTTGCATGCTGTTCCCTTGTTGTGGAGCATGGGCTCTTGGGCATGGAGGCTTCAGTAGTTGTGGCATGTGGGCTCAGGAGTTGTAATTCCTGGACTCTAGAACACAGGCTCGATAGTTGTGGCCAGTGGGCCTGGCTGCTCCTTGGCATGTGGGCTCTTCCAGAATTAAACTCATGTCTCCTGCACTTTCAGGTGGATTCTTTACCACTGAGCCACCA